GACCTGCGGGCTCAGGCAATTCACTCACCTCAGCCTCCCAAAGGCACGGGATTACAGGCTGAGCCACCGAGCCCGGTTTTAAATACACTTTTGACCATGGGCTCTAACACTCGCCCTGCATGAGTTCACTTCTTCCTCGCGGCAGCTCTGTGAGAAAGTCATTGTCCTCCGTTTACATAAGGGAAACTGAGGCTTCGAGAGGTGACGTGACTTACCCAGAATCCCACAGCTCAAGGCAGTGGGCTGCTCACCCTGCCCCCCGAGAGGTGACGTGACTTACCCAGAATCCCACAGCTCAAGGCAGTGGGCTGCTCACCCTGCCCCCCCGAGAGGTGATGTGACTTACCCAGAATCCCACAGCTCAAGGCAGTGGGCTGCTCACCCTGCCCCCTGCTCCCAGGACCCTCCTTGGCTACAGCTGATCCAGACCAGGAGAGAAGCATCAGGGAGGCAGGGACAGTGGGATTATCGCCACCCCAGGCTCAGGCAGGGCGGCCAGACTGCTCAGTGTATCTGTCACCGAATGGGGCCCTCTGACCCCTGACCCTCTCCTCCCTCTACCAGACCAGGAGCGGCTCGCTCTGGGCACTGAGGAAGGGCTGTTTGTGATCCATCTGCACAGCAATGGTACGCGGCCAAGGCTGGCCCGGGTGGGTGCAGGTAGGGCCGGCCCCAGGGGACAGAGGGGGACAGAGAGGACGATGAGGACGGGCCGCTCCTCCTCCTTGCCTTCCTGTGATGCGCCTCCCTCGCCAACCCTGCAGACATCTTCCAGGTCGGGGAGTGCCGGAGGGTGCAGCGACTGGCCGTGAGCCCCGCCGCGGGCCTGCTGGTCGTGCTGTGCGGCCGAGGCCCCAGCGTGCGCCTCTTCGCCCTGGCGGAGCTGGAGAAGGCGGAGGTGACGGGGACCAAGATCCCCGAGTCTCGAGGCTGCCAGGCGCTGGCAGCCGGGCGTATCCTGCAGGCCCGCACCCCGGTGCTCTGTGTCGCCGTCAAACGCCAGGTGTTCTGCTACCAGCTAGGCCCGGGCCCGGGGCCCTGGCAGCGCCGCATCCGCGAGCTGCAGGTACCCAGCCCCGTGCAGAGCCTGGGGCTGCTGGGCGACCGGCTGTGCGTGGGTGCTGCTGGTGGCTTTGCCCTCTACCCGCTGCTCAACGAGGCCACGCCCTTGGCGCTGGGGGCCAGCCTGGTGCCTGAAGAGCTGCCAGCGTCCCGTGGGGGCCTGGGTGAGGCGCTGGGCGCCGTGGAGCTCAGCCTCAGCGAGTTCCTGCTGCTCTTCGCCACTGCCGGCGTCTACGTGGACAGCGGGGGCCGCAAGTCTCGGGGCCATGAGCTGCTGTGGCCCGCAGCGCCCACGGGCTGGGGTAAGGCCTCTGGGGGTCCTGGCCTGGCTGGGGAGGGGACCGGACCCTTCAATGTATGGGACTGCCTCAACTTGGCTACAGCTGATCCAGACCAGGAGAGAAGCATCAGGGAGGCAGGGACAGTGGGATTATTGCCACTCCAGGCTCAGCCAGGGCAGCCAGACTGCCCAGTGTCCCTGTCAGGCTGAGCCAATCGCCTGGTGTCAGAGGCCTTGCACACTCTGGTCCAGCCCTGCCACACCTGTCCTGCCCTCAGTGGCTTGCGTGTGACCTTCCTCCTCTGTACCTGAGCCCAGGTTCCTGCCTGCCTAGCTGCGCGCCTTCTCTTTGTACCTGGCAAATTCTTTTTTTTTCATTGGCAAACTCTTAAGTCCAGCTCCAGGGTCAGCTCAAGGCCTGCAGCTGGCAGGCACTGCAAAGATGACGACCGTGATCGCTGTCATTGTCACTACGCCTTCATGCTCCCTGCCCTCGCCACTGATCCTTCTCTTTGCTTCCCCACCTCTCCGTTCAGACCTCTGTCCTGGCTCTCATCACCTCCTGCTCCAGGGGCTATGAATGTTCGGATGAATGAATGAATGAGTGAAGGGGGCAACAGGACAGCCTTGTGCATTCACAAGTAACCAGTGTGCTGGGTAAGGGCTGGCGTGAGGGACAGAGCAAGGGCTCCTCTAGGGTGGGGCCTTCAGGCTGGGTGTGGGCTTTGGACCCAGACTGCCTGGGGCCAGCTCCCAGCTCTCACTGGCAGTCAAGGGGATGACCTTGACTATGACTTTGCTCCCGTTTCCACTCTCTCATCTGCAAGTTGAGGGGTGATAACAATAGTACCTACTCAGTTGTTTGAGAATGAAGGGAGTAAAACATGCCGAGAGTTTAGCACCGAGCCAGGCAGGTAGGAAGTGAGTGCTCTGCAGTTGTGATCTCTGATTTGTGACGGAGGTTGGATGCAGCCATCAGTAGAAGCTGCGGAGGCAAGACCTCTGCGTGGGGCGTGGAAGGCACCGGGCCGCGGCCAGGCACAGGGTGTTCCCCGCGGCGCGGAGGAGCCCCGAGAGGTGCCCGGCCGGCTGGGGGCTGCACAGCACAGGACGTCTCCTGCCTGCAGGTTACGCAGCGCCCTACCTGACAGTGTTCAGCGAGAACGCCATCGATGTGTTTGACGTGAGGAGGGCAGAATGGGTGCAGACCGTGCCGCTCAAGAAAGTGAGGGCCTGCCCAGACCCCCGGGGCCGCAGTGGGGTGGGGGCGTGGGGCGTGGCCTGACCGCCGTGCCGGCCGCTGCAGGTGCGGCCGCTGAACCCAGAGGGCTCCTTGTTCCTCTACGGCACCGAGAAGGTCCGCCTGACCTACCTCAGGAACCTGCTGGCAGGTGAGGCAGCGTGCGCGCACTTGCGCCCAGGTATGTGCGTGCACACGTGTGCACGTGTGGGGGCGCAGCCGGGGGCGCCAGCGGGCTGGGGCCCTGGGGGTTGTGAGGGCCCACCCGGCTCTCTGCTCCTCCCGCAGAGAAGGACGAGTTCGACATCCCCGACCTCACCGACAACAGCCGGCGCCAGCTGTTCCGCTCCAAGAGCAAGCGCCGCTTCTCCTTCCGCGTGTCCGAAGCGCAGCAGAAGCAGCAGCGCAGGTGCGCATGCGCGAGGCGGTGGCCACGGCCGGGGGGAGCGCCTTGGCTTGTGGGCGGGGCGAAGGAGGGGCCCGACGAATGGAGGGGCGAACTTCACCGCCTGCCCTCTACGCCGCCGCCTGCCACAGGGAGATGCTGAAGGACCCTTTCGTGCGCTCCAAGCTCATCTCGCCGCCCACCAACTTCAACCACCTGGTGCACGTGGGCCCTACCAACGGGAAGCCCGGCGCCAAGGACCCGCCCCGGGTGAGTCCTCCAGGGCCAATCGCCGGCCTCTCGGGTGAGGATGAGCCAATCTCCAGCCTCTCTGGTGTGGCTGAGCCCATCGTCGGCCTCTTGGGTGACACTGAGCCAATCACCGGCCTGTCGGGTGGGCGCGAGCCAATTACAGGCCTCCGTGATCACCCGGCCCCTTGCGGCCCGCGACCCCGCCCTCGGGCACCTGAGCCTGCATCACGTCCAGGCTGCGTCCCGAGCGGACCCCGCTTGTCCCCGCCTGCGAGCCTCTGGTCCCAGCCTGTCTCCGCGCTGTCCCCGACAGGCTCCCGAAGACAAGGGCCGCGGCGCCCGAGGCCCCGGCCCGCAGCGGCCCCACAGCTTCTCGGAGGCGCTGCGGCGCCCGGCCTCCACGAGCAGCGACGGCCTGGCCGGAGGCGCCGACCCCGGTAAGGGCAGCCCCGAGCTCCCTCCCGCCCCGAGTCCCCGCCCCGTGGACTCTCCAAGCCGACCTGGCCGTTTTTGTCCCCGTTTGGTGCTCCTGGAGCAGTGAGGAGGAAGCCTTGGACCTCTCTGTCCAGCGAGTCCGTGTCCTGCCCGCAGGGACCCCTGAGCCCGGCCGCCTCCCTGACACAGGTGAGCCTGGGAGGGGCTCCCCTCTCCTCCATCCGAAGGACAGGCAGTTCTGTTCTGGGCTGAGCCTTGCACAAGGACCCCAGGCTGGAGAGCAAGCTGAGCCATCCCTGCCCTGAATCCCAAGAGGTGCAGGCTCTTTTGTTTTTGAGTTGGAGTCTTACTCTGCCGTCCAGCCTGGAGTGCGGGGGCACCCTGGCCACCTCTGTGGCCTCGCGGGGTGCAGGCTCTTGCCCCTGTCGCACCATCAGGAGTCTGGAAGCAGGTTGGCCCAGGTGGGAATCTCAGCTCTGACTGTCCCGGCCGTCTGGGGCGAGGTGCCCAACTGCCCTGAGCTTGTCTCATCTACACGGTGCGGTGGTTTTGGTGAGGCCGGTGTCAGGTGATGATGGCTGGGAAGGGCTCAGTGCAGTGCCTGGCCAGGCCCTGGGTTGGGAAAGTGCCACAGAAGGGAGTTTTGGGGGTTCTTAGGGGAGACCCAGCCCATGGGCAGGGGAGGGGACCTAAGAAAGGAGCAGTCCCTGGTTGCTGAGGACACAGGGGGACCTCGCTCTCCAGCCATGTCTCCATCTGGCCCCCACCCCACCTCCGTCACCCCAGGCCCCTGGGAGCCCTGGGACTCACCATGGTCTGTCACACCTCCAGGCGCTTGCTTCCGCTGTTCCCTGCTGTGAATGTCTTTCCCTGTCCTCAGCCTGATGACCTCCGGGCTACCCACCCGTCACTTTCGAAGGTGGCCTCCAGGGGGTCAGGCGGTCACTGCCTCCCTGGGACTGGTGCCACCACCCTCACCAGCTCCTCCCTCCACCCCTTCTGTGCGGCTCTTCTGCCCAGCGGAAAGCATGTTTGTTGATTAAATGACGAAGAGAGCGAATGGACAGAGGGACTTTGGATCGATTCAGGGCAAAGTGGCGGTCCTCCAGGGGCTTCCAGCGATGCCACCCCACTTCACATCTGGTGTCCTTGAAGGTTCCCGCTCTTTCCTACCTTTTCCCACCTAACTTCCTTTTTTCTCTCCTCCAGGTCTCAGAACGTCCTCGAAGCCTCCCCCCGGCCCCTGAATCAGAGGGCTGCCCTTGATGCCCATGGGCAGGGGCCACCCCGATCCCAGGGCAGAAAGACATGAGGCAGTCAAGAACTCGAGGAATGCCGTGCTCCGGCTGGTCCGGGACGTTGAAATTCAGACTCAGGGAGGCCCTGGGCTGGGCAGGGACTGGGAGGCTTCCCCAGGTTCCCAGGACTTGGGGGTCCTGGCTTGTGGTTCTCAGCCCACCTGCCCCCTCTGCTCCCAGCCCCAGCCAGCGTTCGCCGTTGAAAAGGAGGTGGCCCCTATTCTGCTCTGGGGTCCAGGGGTGATGGTGCCAAAGTGCTTATTTCCAGTGCCAAGCCCCAAGAGGCTTGCAAGAGAGGGCAGGAGAGATGGAGAGGGCCTGGGAGCCGGTCAGGGGTCTTGCAGACTGTCTGGCCCCCAGCCGAGGCCATGATGGGCCGTGTCTGAGTCTCTGCCCAGGGTCCAGGTGGGAAAGACAGATTCAGACCTAGAGAGAAGGAGGACAGAGAAGGAGAAAGAGGAAGTAGGTGAAGGTGGGAGACAGGCCTGAGGGGAAGGTGGTGGTGAAGTGGGTGATGGGGATTGGAAGGAGATGGATGCCGTGCAGAGGAGGAGAGAGGGAGTGATGAGGAGGAGGGAGAGAGAAAGGGAGGGGTGGAGGAAGAGGGAACTGGGAGAACAGACCCACACGGCCTTCCTCTGAGCAGCTTGGTGACACTGGACACCAGAGTGACTCAGTGGGCAGGGCCGACATTGTCTTCCCAGAGATGAGAATCCTCGGCAGAGACAAGACGGGAGGGTATTTATATGACTTCTTGGTGGGAGATGGGCCCAGCAGGGACCCCTGGAGTATCTCCAGGTATACTCGGCCTTTCCCAGAAAGGGGGGGTTCTTTTTCTCGAAACTTCAACCAACTGTGTATTAGGGGAACATGGGGGGCATTTATTATTGATTATAGTCATTATGTTATTATTATTATATTGCTATTTTTATTAAACCTCCCCCGACCGATGCGTGGGAGGCAAAGTAAGTATTTATCTCCTCAAATGCCACATTCCTAGAGGGACAGGCCCTGATGCTCTGTGAGGCAGCAAGACGCCAATAAAGACAACTTTGTAAGGCGCTGGCCTCCATCTGGATCTGTCCTCCCAGGGTTCAGAAGATGGGGGGATCTAGGATGGAGGGAGGAATGGGGATGTCATAAACAGCTGGAGAACAGGTTGCCTTCCCTGCATTTTCAGAACTCAGGTGACAGAACTCAGTTGATACTCAAATGGGGTAAACAAAGAGACTTCAGTAATAAAGGGACAGCCAGGCATGGTGGCTCACACCTGTAATCCTAGCACTTTGGGATGCCGAGGCTAAAGGATTGCCTGAATCCAGGGTTTGGAGACCAGCCTGGGCAACTTGGTGAGACCTTGTCTCTACAATAGATCAAAAAAATTAGCCAGGCATGGTGGCATACAGCTGTGGTTCCAGCTACTTGGAAAACTGAGGTGGAAGGATCACCAGAGCCCTTCCGATCAAGGCTGCAGTGGCCAGGAGTGTGCCACTGCACTCCAGCCTTAGCGACAGAGTGAGACTCCAACTCAGAAAAAAAAAAAGACTATGTAAAAACTTAGATATCTATTCAGGCTTGGTGGCTCAGCCTGTAATCCTGCGCCTTTGGGAGACTGAGGTGAGTGGATTGC